ATATTGTGTCTGCTTAAAGCGATCTCATATATACAAGCGATAGCAAGACACACAGTACATTTCTCCAGAGAAGAGTTTATTATTTTCCAGGGTTACTCGACTTCACCACTGGGACGTTACGGGCCATCGTTGTTAGTGATCCTATGTAGTAGCTAGAAGGATCCCAGGGGGGTTAGAGGCCCTGAGATCCCAACTCTAAGACATAGGATTGTTACCTGCTATTGTTAGTAGGTTAGAACCTAAAAAGGGTGAGTTTTGTAAAGAAAATATTTGACTATAGTAAACGACCTTTGTACTGTTTTTTATCATCATTGTGCTATATAATTATTTATATATTTACAATATTTCTTTTATTCTATACATTATAGCATTTACATATTTCTTTAACATATTTACATTAATTATATACAGTTTCAATATACGCTTTGATTTAAAATTTGAAATTATAATACATATGTATAAGGAACCTTTCTCTCACTGACTCGACAGTCACACTAACTCATTCACCCATACACACATTCTAATGTTACTTATACACTGTGCTCAACATCCGCCTTTCACACTGATATTACATCCACACACTAACACACAGACACAGCATGTACCCCCACACAGCACTGCATTTGTTCTCACACACATACATGCTCTCGGATACAAGTTTTCCACTAAGTATTTATTTCTCACTTATTCGATATTTTTTTTATTTTTATTGTTTTAAACGATGTAATGTTGTTATATTGGTATATTTATTGTGCTGAGGTGAAGTAGAAGGGGCTGGTGTTCAGGGCTAGTGAGTGAGGAGGGGGGGGGGGGGGGTGGTGCTAGTGGGTTTTACTATTTAGGTAATTTCATTATAGAGGAAATAAATTAAATCTTTGGTGCTTAAGGAGTTATTTCTATTTTTCCAGATAAGAATGTACAGCTGAATGATGTATTTTTGTTGTAAAAGAGGGTAAGTATGGATATAGAGGTATGGTGAAGGGAGAGTGAAGTTTTTATCAGCTGTCATGGTTTGAATGTGAGTGGTGAAGAATTGGCGGAGTGGGACAAGGTAAGGACAGTGTTGAAATAAATGTAATTGTGTTTCAGGTTGATTGTGGCAGTAGTTACAGGTTGTGTTGATGATGTAAAAGGTTCTTGATTGTTGTATAGATTTTGTGAAGAGGCCAGAGTGTAGAAGGAGGTAAGTAAAGTCTTTTTGTCTACTATTAAGGTAAGTATTTTGTTGGAATTTAGAGATTTGAGTAAGATTAAGAGTAGGATGTTCTATAAGAAGTTTAGGTTTATGGTCTGATAGTTGTAATATTTTGGTATTAATGGTTTTGCTAGTTGTTTTTTGCTGGTAGCTTATGATGTTAGGGTGTTGCTGGAAAGTTTGTTTAATTTGTTTTATAAGAGGGGGTTCTATTATGGTGACTGTATGGTAAAGATGGAGAGGGTGTATATTTCTAAGTGGTATGCCTAGCCAGTATTTTGTTAGAGCCATCCAGGCATGCTGAAAAGAAGGAGAGTAGGTGAATTTGTTTATTAATTGAATGTGGTTTATGGTAATTTTGTTTGTGATATCTGTAATGTTAAGGCCACCCTGTTCCAGAGGCAGCATAAGGGTCTTTCTTTTGATTATTTCAGGTTCACCTGCCCAGATCAACCTGAAGATTAGAGTGTTTAGTTGTTTGATTATATCAGGGGGTGGAGGTATTATTTTCAGTGTGTATTGGGTAAGGCTAATTAGGTAGGTATTTAAAGCCATCAGGCGCTCCCTAAAGGAGAGATTCCCAGCACGTTGAATGTGAGTGTATTGTAAGGCTGTGATTTTGTTGATGATTGTGTTTCAGTTTTTATAAATGTAATTTTGTCCAAAGAAGATGCCAAGTATTTTGACAGTGTCACTAGGGACAAGGTCCGTAACCGATCTGAACCCGTTTATGTTGATGAATTCAGTTTTGTCCACATTCAGCTTGGAGCCGGAAGCAAAACCATACTTGTTTATTTCAACTACAATTTCTGTCAGGGAATTTTGAGATGTTAAGATGGCCGAAATATCGTCTGCATGCTGAAATATTTTAATTTGAGATGGTAGGTTCGGAATTTTGAGGCCAATTATTGATTCATTTTGCAGTATTTTTGATGCCAATGGGTGAATTGCCAATGAGTATAACAACATAGATAAAGGGCATCCTTGTCGGACCGACCGTGTAATTTGAAATTTTGAGGTGAACGCACCGTTTACCAAAACTGAGCTGTTGATATCAAGGTATAGAATTTTGAACCAGTTGAGAATATAAGTGGGGAAATTTAGATTTTGGAGAAGGCTGTAGAGGTAATTGTGCTCAATTCTGTCAAAGGCTTTCTCCTGGTCGAACCCTACCGGGGTGCCCTTTATCTGTTTTTGTTCCATGTACTGCAAAATAAAGTGGATAGATTGTAAATTATCCAGTATGGTTTTACCTCTTCCGGCTCCAGTCTGAATGGGCAATATGAGTTCATCTAGAACACCGGATAGCCGATTGGCGAGGATTATTGTAATGATCTTGTAGTCGACTGTTAAGAGTGATATAGGTCTGTAGTTCTTGAGTTGTTTATGGCTGCCTTTATTTTTGTATGAGATTGTTATGATAGCTGATTTTTGAGTGGGTGTTAATTTGTGTTGCATGTAGATGTTGTTGATTAAGTTTGTCAGTTCCTCGCCAATCTGAGGCCAGAATTCTAGGTAGAACTCTTATGGGATTCCGTCCAAACCAGGTGATTTGTTATTGTGAAACGAGTCCAATGCGGCACGGACCTCATCCTCAGTGATAGGAAGAGAGAGCTGTTCTTGTTGTATGGCAGAGAGAGTGGATAGGTTTGATGTAGAAAGGTATTTGTCAATTGTATCTTGAGAGATATTTTGGGTAGTGTACAAGTTGGAGTAAAATTGTTGGACAGTAGATAAGATGGAGTTTTTAGCGGATACTACTTTACCCTCATCATTTTCAATTTCTTGTATTTCCTTGTTGGCTGAGTTTTTGATTTCGAATAATTTATATATTTCTATATTGGAGATGTCACTTCCTGTAAATTCTTTTTTTGATCTTATGATGGTACCAAGGTTAAATTCCTGTTCTAATGCTAATATTTGTGATTTTGTTGCTGTAATATCTGGATGGTCTGAATTGTAATTTTGTTCTAGTGTTTCTAGTTGTAAGTATAAATATTCAAGTAATAATTTCTTTTCTTTCTGAATCCTAATTGAATGTTTTATTGAGATACCCTTTATTGTTTCCTTGAGATTTTCCCACCTTTCCAGTTCTTCAAATTGTGTATTGTTATGCCAATGTTCTAGGATATAAATAATGTGCTCCCTATAATTTTGATCTTTTAGAATCTGAGTGTTCATTTTCCAGTAGCTTTTTCCCAATTTATTTCTAGTAATTTTAAGTTTTAGACTGACGGCCTTATGGTCACTGACGGACTGTGGCAGGTGTTTTATTTCTTGTACGTTTGGAGTTAGAGTTTTGGATAAGTATATTCTGTCAAGTCGAGCTGCTCCTGTAGTTGTTTTACTGTAAGTGTATGAATGAGTTGTAGAGTATGTTTGTCTGAAGATGTCTGTATGGTTAAGAGAGTTAATAGATGTTTGAAAGTATTGTTTAGTTTTTTGTTTCAAGGAGTAACGTTGAAGTTGTCTTTTTTGTGTCAATGTGTTCTAGAATGAAGTTAAAATCGCCTGTAAGTAAAGTTTCATGGGTTGGTTTGAGATGTTTCAGAATGTAGTCCAAGACGTTGTCATAAAAGATGTGTATCTCAGTGTAGTTAGTAGATGCATATAGATTAATAATTTGAAAAGTTTTATTTGATATTTGAATTTCAAGGTGTAGGAATCTCCCCTCCAGGAAATCCTGAGGCGTCAAATCCTTAGCTGTAATATGTCTCTGGACCAGGGTGGCTACTCCCCTGGATTTATAAGTTCTATTGTTGCAGAATATGTTGTAATTAGAGTTAGTTTGTAAATTGTTTATTTCGTGTGGAGTGAGAGTAGATGTTTCTTGTAAGTTGAGTATTTGATATTTATGAAATGTAGAAGTTAGAGTATTGTATTTGAGGTTTAAATGGTGGTTGATGTTAAGGGATATAAAGTTTAAGGCCATAATAGAGGGTGTAAGGGGAGTGGTATAGGGTGTATGTAAGTTAGTAAGTTGTTAGTATGATCTACCTTTAGAAGATTAAACTTCAGTTTGTACAGGTGAGGTGGTCCTCACATAAGGAGATACCAACCGCAACTCAACAGAGATACAAGTGTTTATTTATCACATGTCTATGACCCTTTAGTTAAATAACCCCACCCCAAATTTTGTATTTAGATTGTCACCGGCATCTTACTAGTCAAGTTTTTTATGTTTTATTTATCATCACATTGTACGATTATAATCACCACCACCCCACCATTATAATCAAGAAGTAATTTACTACATCCCTTTAATAGTTTCTCTAATCACACACCCTTGTGATTACCCCTACATAATTGATTAATGTATTTCTATTGTTTTAATCCTTGTTATTGTTGCCCCACACTATATATCCTGAATGCCTTGTTATTTTGTACCATTGCTTGATAAAGACGAAAGAATCATCGTCGAAACGTCGCAAGTTATTTATTAAAGTAATTGTTATCCATATAATTGTGTTCGTGTTAATATCATCAATTACTAAATGCCACTCAAGGAAGATATAAAGGTAATTTAACTAGACGTATTATACAGATATAAAGGTAATTTAACTAGACGTTTTTTACAGATATAAAGGTAATTAAAATAGACGTATTATACAGATATAAAGGTAATTTAACTAGACGTACTATACAGATATAAAGGTAATTTAACTAGACGTATTATACAGATATAAAGGTAATTCAACTTGACGTATTATACAGATATAACGGTAAGTTAACTAGGCGTATTATACAGATATAAAGGTAATTTAACTAGGTGTATTATAAAGATATAAGGGTAATTTAACTAGACGTATTATACAGAAATAAAGGTAATTTTAACTAGACTATTATACAGATATAAAGGTAATTTAAGTAGAGGTATTATACAGATATAAAGGTAATTTAACAAGACGTATTATACTGA